CGACGCTCCTGCAGCACGAGCCAAGACCTGCTAAAGGGGCAGGTGAACGCGTTTGTATGGGCTGGAGTCGCAGCTGGAAAGCGGTCCCACGGCGGTGACTCTGTTACCCCAAATAACTGTTTTCCCAGAACCGTTGTTAACATCCATTCCTGAAGAGGTTGGGAGAGTGGTTGGATTGGCTGACCCTAAGGGTGCCTTTCAGCCTAAATTATTCTATGGTTTTGATGGTTCAGCGGTTAATTCTTGTTCAAGGAAATAGGGAAGTGCTCAGCACGTGAGGTTTGTGTTGAAGACCCTGCCTTCAGAGGGACGGTGATGTTTGTGGTGATGTTCCTGGTCCTCGGTCATGCTGGTGCTTCCCGCCTTGCTGTGCCCAGCAGGGTGTCTGAACACGGATGTGGCTCTGCATGGCAGGCTTCAGATGCTTGGCTCAGGAAATCTGAAGGGACACTCAGATTTAATAACTTTAAATGTCCCTTTCTCAGTTCTTAATTAGGATTAGGGAAGACTCCAGTTCCATTACTTAGGCTTTTTTGACAGCATGGATAATCAAAATAGATCAGCTAGCAATGCTGAAGAAATGCTTCTTGCAAATCTAGAAGCTAGGAGTGCTGTGAATTCTTCCTCTTTCTTTTTTTTTTTAAAAAAGGGGAATAGCTCCCTCCCCCAAAATAAAAAAAAAAAAAGCAACATCTGTGCTGGGATGGAGAGGGGTGCAGGTGGTCGCTGCTTGGTGCCCTGGGCTGAATGAGACGCACCTCCGAGCCCTGTGCCTTGGTTTTAAAGTAGTTGAAAGGTTGGGTCTGAACCGGAGCAGGCCTGCCTGCACGCTCGATGGCGTGCCAGGGCACTCAACGGCGTGAAGCCCAGCTGCTTCCTGTTAGCTGTCCTTGGAGCCTGCAGGCTCCAGAGGTGTGTTTTCGGGAGGGGAACCCACCGCTGCCACGCTTGGCCCCTGTCCAGGGACACCGAGGTTTGCCCAGGGTTCAAGGTACAGATTTTGCAAACTGCTGAGCTCTCCGTGCTGCAGCACGTCGGGGCTCGGTGGCCATGTGGCAGCCCCCGGGGGCCGCTGTAGGGAAGCGGAGAGAGAGGGAAGCGGATCCCCCTTCCCGATCCCCGATGGGACAAGGTTGGAGCTGTGGCGCAGGCTGCGCGAGCTGGCGCGTGGCACCTCGCTGGGAGCAGGATGCTGCGGGGTTTCGGAGGGCCTCGTTCCTGCTGCCCTAGCAGAGCTCTTCAAACATTTTCCAGGCTCTGTTTAAACTAGGCAGAAAGGTCAAGTAGTATCTGAAGACCCATGAATAACATGTTGACAACCTTGCTACCTGTTAATGGTAAAACTACATCTGTTAATATTCGATGGGTGTCCATTCAGTTTATTTAAATACATTTTAGTGTCTGTAGAGCATGCTTTGCAGTATCTAATCACTGTTTGCTTTGGATTAAGGCTCCTGATAATGAAGCACTTAAAAGGCGGTGTGCAGAGCAATTGGGCTTCTCCTGCCTTAGGGGTAGTAAGGAAAACAGCCCCAGCCCTTCTCCCTGGCCCCCTGCGAGGCTGCTGGGGAGCTGCAGAGTGCAGTTTCCTGTGCTGCATTCTTCACACGTCATGTGGTCTCTGTCAGAAACCTCCTGTTCCCAAGATGGGCAATCAGTGCATGCTTGTTCAGCTGCCCCCGTCCCTGGGTGGGAATGACTGACCCCTCCTGGGTGGCACAGGCAGGGCAGAGCCACCTAACAGAGCAACAAGCCTTGCAGGGCGGAGAGCATCACCCCCGTTCCAAAGCAGGGTCGCCCTTCGGCAGGGGCAGGTCCTGCCGGCAGGTCGGTGCCCCGGGAACCTCCCAGTTCTAGCCGACGGAAAAGCAGCTCGCTCCGAAAGGTTGCAGCTTGCAGCAACCATAAACTTCTTTTTGGTGCCCTGGAAAAGCTGCAGCACGCTGGTACTTGCTGGAGTCCTGCTCCTCCAGCTGAGATTTCAGCGTGTGGTTTTAACCAAATGTCACTCTCCTGTCTCCAGCTGCCTCCAGCCCTCCTGTCCGTCTCTCCTTAATCCATTCCCTGGTTGGGTGAAGTGTCACTGTGCAAAAGTTAGACGTCTGTGGCAAAAAATTTTCTGTGCGCTTGCATGTGATGCCTGTTGTGCAAAGACGTCTCATCTGTGGGCATATCTCCATTGATTTCCCAGGTCCCATCAGCAGCATCCTGGTGAACAAATACGGCAGTCGGCCTATCATGATTGCTGGTGGCTGCCTCTCGGGGTGCGGTTTGATTGCAGCCTCTTTCTGCAACACTGTGGAGGAGCTCTACTTCTGTGTCGGTGTCGTAGGGGGTAAGTGACAGCTGTACCATAGCATGAATGGAGCCAAGATAAGGCCTCTTCTGAGGCAGTAAGAGGAGTAACTTAAATCTAGCAATTGTTTACAAATGTCTACAATGAATTTGCATAAATTCTAATTCCCTTTGTACACCTGAATAAAAGATGGCCATGGCTACATAACGCAGAAAGAATGCAAGTACTCAGGCATTAATATTTGGCTGCTTAAAATGGAAAGCCTGCAATTATTCCTGTCTCAGGATTATGCCACACCAGTAAAATAAAGTTTGTTATGACTCACAGCACTTCTCTCCTTTGGACTCCCTTAACTCTTGCGCATGACTTTTTATTAATGCGCAGCTCCTCCTAGCTCCTCCTTCACGGAAGGAATCAATAGCGCGGAGGCTGTATAATCTGAAAGTTAATATGGTAGAAATTGTAGTATTAAATGCCAAGAATTGTAACCGCTGCCTGTTGCTCAGTTTCTTCAGCCCTTCTTGTGAGCGCTGTTGGCTTGCAGAAGTGGTAGAGCTCTGAGTGCCTTATCTCTCATCTTACTTTTTCAGGCCTTGGACTTGCATTTAACTTGAACCCAGCCTTAACTATGATTGGCAAGTACTTCTTCAAGAAACGTCCCCTGGCTAACGGACTAGCTATGGCAGGTAGCCCTGTGTTCCTGTCAACCTTGGCACCTGTGAATCAGCTCTTCTTTGGCATCTTTGGCTGGCGAGGGAGCTTCTTGATCCTTGGTGGTCTCTTGCTGAACTGCTGCGTAGCTGGATCACTGATGCGGCCGATAGGCCCTAAGCCAGATCAGCTGAAAAAAGAGGCCACTAAAGAGGTGTTGCAGGAAGCTGGGAAAGCAACGAAAAAAGATGATGGAGCTGGTGATACTAACACAGACCTCATTGGTGGAAAGACCAAGAAGCAGAAGCGCACAGTTTTCCAGACAGTCAACAAGTTCTTGGATTTGTCCCTGTTCACACACAGAGGCTTCTTGCTCTATCTGTCGGGCAATGTGATCATGTTCTTTGGACTATTCACTCCCTTGGTCTTCCTCAGCAATTATGCAAAGAGCAAGAAGATCGCTAATGAGTCTGCAGCCTTCTTGCTTTCCATCCTGGCCTTTGTAGACATGGTGGCCAGACCTTCCATGGGCCTGGTGGCAAATACCAAGTGGATCAGACCCAGAGTCCAGTATTTCTTTGCCATCTCTGTGATCTACAACGGGCTGTGCCACCTCCTGGCCCCCCTGTCCACCACCTATGCTGGGTTCTGCATTTATGCTGGGTTCTTTGGCTTTGCCTTTGGTTGGCTTAGTTCCGTCTTGTTTGAAACCTTGATGGACCTCGTGGGAGCGCAGAGGTTCTCCAGCGCTGTTGGCCTCGTGACCATTGTGGAGTGCTGCCCGGTGCTTCTGGGACCCCCTCTCCTAGGTAGAGTGCCATCACACCCTTGGGCTGTCTCTGCCCCTCAAGTCTGGCTGGCTGAGGAGCCAGGGTGGTGGGGCCGTGCACAGGGAAACCTTCCTGATGGGAGCGGACAAGGAATGGCACTGTGCTGTGGGGGTGAGGGCCTCCTCTCACAGGGGAACGGGTCTGAACCGTGTGCAGCCTTTCTGTGTTCCTGCCATGCCTCGGTGCCAGGCAGACGGGAGGGAAGCTGAGCTCTGGCCCCAGCACCTCTCCTGACCCCTGGGAGCAGGGCTGAGCTTTTGTCCCAGGGCTGGGGAGTGGGGCCTGCTGGGCTGCCAGGACGCACACGGCACACCTTCGTGCAGGAAGAAGGGCTCTTCTCTGAGCTGTTCGTGCCCAGGCAGTCGCTCAGGTAGGGGCGAGCTGGAGTTTCCAGCTGGAGCATGGCTGCTGTGCTGAGGCTGCCTCTGAATGCCCCTAGGAACAGCGGCAACGAGCTGGAAGGACGAAAGGTTCAAGCGGGGGTGTCAGGCCAGGGTTGCTCTCGGGAACATCTCCTGAACCTGGAGCAATTGCCGTGGTGCACCAGGAGAGGGTCTTGCTAAGCTGTCTCCTCTCTGTCCGCCAGGTAAACTCAACGACATGTACGGGGACTACAAGTACACGTACTGGGCCTGCGGGGTCATCCTCATCGTGTCCGGGATCTACCTGTTCATCGGCATGGGCATCAACTACCGCCTGGTGGCGAAGGAGCAGAAGGCAGAGGAGAAGATGAGGAACGAAGGGAAGGAGGAAGAGACCAACCTCGAGGAGGCCGAGAAAGAGGCGAACAACGACGTGGCCACCCTGCCTCAGAAGAGCACGGAAGACGGCGTAAAAGAGGAGGAAAGCTACATGTGACGGACTGGCTTTAATCCCAGAGCGTCGGAGGGAGCACCGTTGCCCCGAAATGGTGTCGGGGGAAGTGCTCCACTGGTATTGAGCGGCGGTGAGAAGCGTCTAAACCAGGTGTTCATTTTTAACCAGGCTCTGAATTGTCTTTTCATCTGTGTTCAACAAAGGTAACAGAGCTACGTGTGCAGTATCCTCCTGCGCTGGGGCGGGGTGGGAAACTTTTTATATTCTGGCTTTTTAACAGTAACATGAATGTACTAATATGTGCCTTAGGGTCTTCATAGCTAGCTGATTTTGGAAGAGCCTTAACTCTACTCTGTAAATCATGCTGTAGTTCTGTAATCTGCTGGGAGTACGGGGTGTGTGGGGGTGTGTGTGTGTGTGTGTGTGTATTTTGGGGGATTTGTTGTTAAAAAGCCATAAAAAAGCAGGATACTGGATTTGTTGAGGCACGATGGGCTTCAGGGCCAAGCCCCGAATGAATACTGCTTCACATGCTTCTTACTGCAGGCTCTCCGCGGAGATCTGGGCATGGGGTAGGGTGGTCTCAAACTCGCGTGCCAGATGCCTCCTAGCTCTGTAGGTGGTCTCTAGGTATGTTTTGAAAACACTTTAGCTACTGTAGTTCTTTAAAAATTCCTCTTTCATAGTTACCTTCTCATAGGATATTCGAGTTGAAAAAGGATGGCTGACGTTAATGGCAGGCAGGGTCTTCTGCACGGGCGCACCTGCTCCGAGGGCAGAGCAGACCCCTCATGGGCATTCGGTCCTCCCCCCGGTCGGTGTGGGGAGGACGCAATTCACGTCTTCCCCGCTGCCAAATCCTGTCTCCGTGATGCCTCTTCTCAAAATAACACCGTGTGCTGCGAAACGGGTACCAGGGCAGGAGGTTTGGCGGCGGGCGGGTCGGGTGGCCACTGCCGCCGGGCACCTGGTATCTGGCTCGCGGGCGCTGAGCATCCCGCTCCCAACGGGTGGCTGCATGCGCTCACCCCTCTGCAGCGTGAAGGGCCCGCTAGACTCGACCGTCATTAACGCATCCCTGACATAGGTATTCTGCTTCTGCTTTTTTATCTATTGGAGAGAAAAACCTCTTTTACTTGCTTCTGTTCAACTAAGATCTTAAGGTGATGCCTAACCACTCACATCTAGGACATGTAAAGGGGAGGAAAGAATTTGTTTGTACGTATTTATTTTTTTTAAGTAAGTGCTGGAAAATATCTCAACGTACGTGGAGCAGACTGCCTGTGACTAGCAGGTTAATGGCTCTCAAGTTCTAGTAAATGTTGATCAGAAATCTTGTAAGAGGCTGAGTATTTTTTTCAAATAAACTTGTTTTTTTATAATTCACCCATCAAATGTTGAATTTTTCTTTCCTAGGCTCACATGTATAGCCATATTCCAGAAACATGCCAGCTGACGTGTGTTTTAGGGGGAGATAAGTGAGGTTCTAGTAACAGGCTGGCCAGGCGACATGGTGCAAAGCCGTTCTTCAGCCCTGGTCCTGGTGTTGCAAGAGAGGAGGCAGCCAAGAGACCTCGGTCCTCCCCTTTGGGGCAGACTAAGCTTCCTTGCTCAAATCTCCTCTTGCAGCACGCGGCTCCTCCGTGTGATGCCTCAGCCCGGTAACAGGCTGGCCAGGCGACATGGTGCAAAGCCGTTCTTCAGCCCTGGTCCTGGTGTTGCAAGAGAGGAGGCAGCCAAGAGACCTCGGTCCTCCCCTTTGGGGCAGACTAAGCTTCCTTGCTCAAATCTCCTCTTGCAGCACGCGGCTCCTCCGTGTGATGCCTCAGCCCGGGTGAAACGGTGCCCTTGCCGGCGGCGGCAGCGCCCGCCCGTGGCGGAGGGGGG